TCAAGTCGAAAACTGCTTTATGCACTTTAGGTGGAGAAAGATTCAGCTATAACACACACGATCTCAAAAATGTACCAGAAGATAAACAATTATAGAAAAGTTCCATAAATCGGTTTTACAAAGAACGGACGGACACTGTCATACTGCGAATCGGTTGGTTAGGTTTAGAACGACAGGATTGCGGTCTCTCAGAAGATGCGGAATTTAAGGGATAACCGACGAGCGGTAGGCCTGTGTGCGAGCATAAATCAGCTTGTACTTCTGCTTAGTAGACGAAGTTGACAGACATTCAGATAAAGCGATGTGAAGCGGATGACTAGTATCAGCCAGTATCTTACATGCCAGTTTCTTACAAGAACTAGTGTATTGACATAAATAGACATCGGGATATCGTTACATCTGGATAAGTGCCGTAAAAACCACAATTAACTTAAAAATGCTTACCTAGAAGACCGGGGAAAGTCACAGAGGAACAGTATGTCCAGTGGAGAAGAACACAGGCATTGATAAATCGAAGGATCAACTCACGAGGGACAAAGGAGGCTCTTAGACGAGAGCCGTAGAAAGACAACCTTCGGACTTTTGTGAAAGTTTTATTTACATGAAAAGTCCAAGATAAAGCACAGTTCAGCACCACATCCAGGTACTTCACTGATGTAACAAAGTGCAATCCATCGCTATCAATAAATTGCTTGGAACACTGTGTAAGGATCTGCGCATACCTTAATCATTTGTGCAGCGGAAAAAGTATATCATGGAATTCTGCTGCATGAAGGGACAAGTTCCGAGCTTTGGACCAAATATTGAAGCCATTCATATGATTTTGCGGGCTGAGTGAGGAAACGGCGGTGATACCCAGGACAACGTTGTCGGCATATTTTACTAAAGTCGCTTTTGTGGGGATTGTCTCTGAACTGACGTAAGTAGAGAGGAGAAAAGGTGACAGAAATGCTCCCTTGAAGAACACCAGAGTTGGTGGTTAGTGGGGAGGAGCATCTGCCATTGAGTCGGATTGTGTGAGTGCATCTGGTAAAATAATCACTAACCAAATGGACTATGTAAGGATGTATTCCTTGAATGAGAAGATCGTTCAGCAGTACTTTGCGCTTTACACAGCTGAATGTATTGCCATAATCAAGGAAGCACATACGAGTTGATTTACTTATGTTGAAAGTGACGACAGTACAGTGTATACGAGGCAGGCCACAGCATCCAGAGTAGACTTTGAACTGCGATAAGCGAATTGAAGGGGTCAATGGAGCGGGTTTGCGACAGCATCATTTCAAGGATGATTTTTTCAAGCATCTTCAAGGTAACAGAATTACGAATGACAAGTTGATACCGGAAGTTTGTCACCTGTCAGTGCAATGAGACTGGACCTTAACGTGATGCGATGGTTTGTGTGCCTCAGTGAGCTATGCTGAGTGGTGCTTTTTGCACCTTCAGAGCCACTCCAACCAGAGTGGTCAATGGTTAGAGGCCAGACAAGCTCAGTCCCCTGGTTCTCCAGGTTGGGGAGTGGAGTGAGGTTGCCTCCTTAGTCCAGTGCCAAAACTCCGCTGCCTTGCGGTAAGGTTTTTAAACCAAAGCCTTCGGTTGAGAACCCTAAACGTTCTCCTGTCTAGCCCTGGGCAACCTGACAGTATCCTGCACACGCAATACACCATGACCTCTACTTCTAACAATCTCTTGATGCTCTGGTCGACGCAGAGGATAACAAACGACGCCCTATCTGCTGCATCCAGCATGGTGGATACGGGTTTGGATGCTACTGCTACTACTATTTTCGACATAGCACCCACAGAAGAGTAACTTGGATACCGCCAGCCTCGGGCCAGAGATGGACGCAAATCAATCACATCGCGATTAGTTAGCACTGAAGAGGTGGTGTCCAAAACTGTCGCTCGATTTGCAGCATCAGCATGGACTCCGATCACGCTCTCGTGTGGGCCGACTTGCAGGTGCGTTTCGATGGACTTCCGCAACATCACTCTGAGCGCATTAATTCCATCCAGATGGCGAAGTTAGGTGTTTTGAATGCGTATCAAACTACGCTGGTATCTGGGCTGAGTAAGAGTCCACTGAACACTGTTGAAGATCACTGGTCGCATATTCGTCAAACGTTACTATCAGCAAGCATGTCTTCATGTGGTAAATCAAATTGCCATCCTAGACATTGGGTCTCTATAAAGTCTCTGGAAGTTATGGATGCTCGCCGACGTATTCCAGCTGGAATCGAATACAATGAGACTCGCGAAAATCCCAGCGTAAAACTTCGTGCTAGCCTGAAGACAGACCTCGAAGCGTGGTGGTCCCATCATGCCTCTGAGATGGAAATAGACGCTACCGTTGGCAATCATTATAAGTTATTCCGTCTGATACGGGAAATAGGCAGCAGGAGACATGATGTTAGCGAGACCATTCGCGATGAGAGTGGGCAGCCGATTCACAGCTTGTTAAAACGCTTGGTGCGTTAGGCCGAACAATTTGCAAGGCAGTTTAACCAATCTGAGTTATCACTTTCTCTCTCGGGCATTGAGTGCCATTCTCCATGGACCGTCTCCTTAGATCCGCCGTCACGCGCAGAAGTCAAACGTGAGATCAGACTGTTGAAATTGCATAAGGCCGCTGGTGCAGATAGAATTCCCCAGCTCTCTACAAATTCGGGGGACCTGCTCTTGTGGATGATTTACACGAGTTGCTAATGGAACTTTGGGAGCAGGAAACTGTCCCGACAGACTGGAGCCGCTCCGTCATAGTCCAATTTTCAAGGAGGCTCCCGTTCGGAATGCGGCAACCATAGAGGGATCAGTCTGATCTCAATTGCCTCTAAATTGCTTGCCTCTGTCGTTCTCCACAGACTGACTGGCGCTCGTGAAGGCCAGATCCGCGAAGAGCAAGCCGGGTTTCGTCGAAATCGAGGCTGCATCGACCACATCTTCACTTTGCGTCAATTGTTGGAGCACCGCCATGTTTATTGGCGACCACCGTTGTCGTGTTTCTCGACATCAAAGGTGCCTTCGATTCGGTGGATCGATGTGCCCTTTGGGACTGTCTGCTGAGAAAAGGTGTGCCCGATAAATATGTAAACATTATCAAAGCGCTGTACGCGCATAGTTCGGGCAGAGCGGGGGTTTATGGCAAACTGTTGCCGCCCTTCAATATCTCCAGCGGTGTGAAACAAGGTTACCCGCTGTCACCTTTACTCTTTAACTTCGCTACTGATGAAGTCATTAAAACAGCATTTGCTGTGTACGATCTAGGTGTGCAGCTAATTCTGGTAAGCGACTTCTTGACTTGGCGTATGCGGACGACATTTCCCTCATATGTGACAGCTCCCAAACATGCCAGGCTGCACTGGACCGAGTAGCACTGGCTGTCAATTGTTTTTGGCTATGCTCTGCTCCATCGAAATGCAAAGTACTCCAAGATTGTCAGGGACCCACCAAGGCGCTAACACTTGGTGGTGATCATCTAGAAGTCGTTCGGGAATTCAAGTACCTGAACAGCTATATTAGCGCCCGTGGGATCGAAGTTGAGATTACAAACCGTATAGCAAAAGCGCGAGGTGCTTTTGCCCATCTCCGCCACCTGTAGCGCAGACGCGACATCGCTCTTGCCCTGAAGTATAGAGTTTATAATGCAGCCGTCCGTTCAACTCACTTATGCGGTTGTGGAACCTGGCCTGACAGACATAAAGTGGCTGGCCACGTTCGATCATCGCTGCCTTCGCAGCTTAGCTCTTGTCAGACGGGAGCACCGCGTGAGCAATGAGTGTGTTCGACGTCACGTATTTGGTGCAGGAAGAGCTAATGAACCTTCCAGCACCATTATATCACGCACTAGACTCCGATGGATAAGCCGCGTGTTGCGAAAACCAGCACACTGACTCCCGGGAAGTGCATTGTTGGCGCGCCGGGGTTGAGAATGGAAGAGGAGACGACTAGGAGTTTTGCAGACAGCATTACTCCCCAGTACTGGGCTGGAAGTTTCCCTGCTTTATGGTGGAGAAGTTGTATGGTTGCACACAATTAAGTGCTGATACGGGTACCAATACACGGTAGAGTCACCCTTTAATTTGATAATAAATTTCACAGACCACTTTCGCTTTTGTGATATTTGTTGCTTCATTTCTTATCAGTGCGTCTACTAGTCTTACTCAGCACTGTACTCGGTTCGACGTGATTGATCTCGCACTTCCAACTCATCGCGAGTGACTGATTTGCATGCCGCTTGATGTTCCAATGAGACAGTTCGGTCTGGGATAGGTCACTCAAGATGTTTTCCACGCGGCGGACCGGTAGTAAGGATCATGAGCCTGCTTTGTTACCCAGAGTTCGCGGGTTCGAGTCTGCGTAGGGGAACGGGCGACCCTTACAGTATCCTTGACCCACGCGCGACTAGTTATATTTGCGCGGCAGAGAAGCATAAATACTGCGCTCCATCGTATCGCTGATGTCTATCAGCCCTAACTGACATAATGAATGCATTCTTCCTAGTCGCAAATACGGCCGGCATTCGACACACATCAATCCAAACTTTCCAGACACAGCATTGTGCAAGGAAATGCTCGGAAATCTTTGAGTGACCTGTCCCCGATAAAAATTTTGATCCTTGAAGCAACCGGGAGCAGAGTTCTTCACTCAGCCGCAGTCAGTCGGTTACTATCTGAATGGGTTTGCGACATTATTTAAAATAATTTACGCATGAGTCATGAGTTGATGATACATTACATTATGCGAGGTCAAAGTTAGGTCCATAGCGCTGTTTCTTTTCCCATTTCCACATCCTTATCATTGACAGAAAACACCCCGAGATGGGATGGCTGGCCATCCGAACGCGCCTTTCAGGATCGGCATTTCCCCCACCACATTTTACCTACCTATTAGATAAGAGATAGAAATCGTGGATACACTTTTGAATTAGATACAGTCTGTTCACATAAGCAGTGATAAGTAGAGGCAGCAACCATCTTCGTAAGTGCGACTTTCCCCCTTTCAGACACTGAAACTACTACAACTCATATTGGGAGCACCGAAAACACTACACTTTCAATGTGGAAATGAATGAGATCATTACATCCGGTCCATACGATGAGACATGCGAATGCTCATCCCCACAAACTAAAAAGAATGAAGTAGAGGCATATGATAAAGAGGAAATAATGTCCGTTCGTCCCCCTGATATTCCCATAGGTGCAAAAACGTCAGATTATTACAAAGTAGCTGAGGATCTACCATTTAGGTTCAACGAACCAGGTATGATAAATTATTAATTGAATTTCTCCAATTTAGACCAAATGAAAGCATATGATCGCAAACCTATGAATCCGATGTATCGGACAACGAATTCCGAATACGGTCGAATTCCACCGAATGTTCACACAATGAATGTGGTTTATCATAAGCGGAAAAGAGATTTTACAAAGGTATGTAATCTACAGCTGAAATGAACCTGTCTGATGAATGTTTAGCGCTACATGGAATGTGGAAATTATCGGAATCATTCACTTAATACTGCATTGGACAAATCCAAAGTCTTAGAAATGTGATATCCAAAGTAGTGCTGAATGAAAATGCGATACTGATTCGAAAGGAAACAGTTTACTCTCAGTGTCAACAAAGATGTCTTGGTCAAAAAGAACAAAATGTGTTCTCTATTTCGAAATATATTAATGATCACATAGTGCACGTTATTTGCTCACTTACTTGTTAAGGTGTGGGAGCAGGAAACTGTCCTAACGGACTCGAGCCTCCGTTATAGCCCCAATTTTCAAAGGGGGCTCAAGTCCTGAATGCGGTGATCACAGACCAGTCTGACCTCAATGATCTCTAAGCTACTCGCCTCTGTCGTTCCTCATAAACACACTGGCACATGTGAAAGCCGGATTCGCGAGCAGCAAGCCGGGTTTCGTCGAAGTCTCGGATGCATCGATCACATTTTCGCATTAGCTCAATTGTTGGAGCATCTCCATATTTATAGGCGACCCACTATAGTCATGTTCCTCGACATGCCTTCGATACAGTTGATAGATGTGCCCTTTGGGGTTTCCATCTCAGGGAATGTGTGCCCGGTAAATACGTAAACATCATCAGAGCGCTTTACTTGTATAGTTCGGACACAATGAGAGTTTATGCAAGCTGTCGCCGCCCTTCAATATAGCCAACGGTGTAAGACAAGGTTACACCCTATCACCTTGTCAGTTTTAACTTTATCACCGACAGTTTTGGAGACTACGTTCACTGGACACAACCTAGGTGTGGAACTGCTTCCAAGTGGTCGACTTTTTGACTTGTAGTACATCAACGACGCTGTTCTCATCTTTGGAAGCTTTCAGACGTGCCAAGTAGCACTGCACAAATTAGCGCTGCTTGTCAGTCGTTCTGGGCTATGTTTTGCGCCCTCGAAGTGCTAAGTACTTCTCCTAGATTGGCAGGGACCTGCCCCTACGGTGACTCTTGATGTGGACCAGGTTGAAGTCATCGAGAAATTCAAGTATCTAGGCAACTATATCAGCGCCAGCGCTATTGAAGATGACATCGCAGACCACCCTGCAAAAGCTCGATGTGCTTTTGCCAAGCTCCGCCACATGTGGCGTCAGCCCCGTACGGAGTTCACAATGCACCTGTCCGATCAACTCTCTTGTATGGTTGCGAAACGTGGCCCATCTAGTCGACAGACGTAAAGGGGCTAGTTGTGTTGGATCATCGCTGCCTTCGCAGTTTTGCTCATGTCTGATGGGAGCACCGTGTGAAGAATGAGCGTGTTCGGTATTGTCTAATTGGTGTAGGAAGAGCGAGTGAGCCGCTCAGCACCGTTATATCACAAACCAGGCTCCGATGACTAGGCTACGTGTTGCGCATGTAGCATACCAGCTCCCGCGACGGGCGTCGTTTGCGCACCCGGTGTGTGCATAAAAGAAGAGGAGAAGAAGTTAAGTGATGACTTGGTCAAGAGGAATGTAGGTTTTCACTTTCAACTTGGTGTCGATTGGTGCCTCCAGACTGTCGAGCTGGGATCGAAGGACAAGAAACATGTTTGGTTGGGTGCACTTGTTGAAGTGCCGACCTCGTCGGCGTTTTTGTTGTTAGCTTCTTTGTTCCTTTCCTTCCCGCTTTTTGCTCCACCTTTGTCTCGAAGCATATTATGTTGGTAAGCAGTGTGTACCCTTTTCTGTAATTCTCAGGATCTCTTGTTTTCAGAAATCCTGTCTCTTGATATTGCGGCACAATAGTTGAAGTGTTTCTCACCTTCGGCTATTTGTAATGATGATGACTTGTAGAGCTCGGCCATTGCACGGCGGCAAATCAGTGCAGTGCTCAATGAAAATAAATCCATGAATTCTGTGAACCGAGGAATTATCTTGTTGAAATTTTGACCAAAAGCTAGGAAGTACGTAACGTGAAGAAAATGGTGGGAATTACTCATGAGTAGGGCGATTTTAGTTGTACTCTCTATGCATTCATCCAGGCAGCGCAAGGTACATAGCACAATCACAATCCGGAAAAGCACCAGACGCGTTTCGCCCTAATGGGGATCGTCAGTGGTGCGCATTCCCTTGGTCCTCTATTGGGGATCGAACCTATGACCGCTAGACGTTGACGCCAACTAGCCAGCAGCTTGAACCACTGAGCCATGGGGTCGGTGGCTGGGTTACATAAGTTGCAAGCGAGCTGGGATACAGAACGACCTACCTTCCACAGCCACGCAGGTTACTACCTTTGTAAATGACTGACTAACCTCTGAGGTCATAACTTTCACTAGACACTATGTCCATGGCATATGAAATTAGGAGGGAGGATTGGGGTTTTAGTCGTACTCTTAATGTAATCGTCCCAGCAACGCACAAGCTACATAGCACAACCACAATCCGGAAAAGTACCAGACGCGTTTCGCCCTACTGGGGCTCGTCAGTGGTACGCATTCCTTCGGTGCCTTACTGGGGATCGAGCCCATGACCGTTGGTGGTTGACGCCAACTAGACAGCAGTTTAAGCCACTGAGCCATGAGGGATGGTGGCTGGGCTATATAATTTGCAAGTGTGAATGTCAATGGAGCAGTGTTCCGTGCTAATAAACAAGGCCAAGTCAATTACAAATGCTGGTGAATGTGTTGCCGTTAATGCAGCGGAAAGGACTGAGACCTATAAACTATAAAATATGGGAAACCGAGTTACTTTGGATGTAGAGCGTATGGCACGATGTGAGAAGCATTCAATCTTCGATATTGTCATTAGCAAGGAACCGGCGATTTGAGTTGATGTTTTGTTGCTAATCCGGAATCCAGTTACAAGACTCAAACGCAGTACTACTTTTTAGATACCCTTCACGTGACACGCCGCACTTTCTCAATCCGTCCATCCGGCGATAACATGGACTCAAACCAGTCAAATTGGCGTGGATGTTGTTCTGCGTGTCTGGAAGGATTAAGTGGATTCCAAACGGTATTTGGAGGTTCACTGTCAGATTGAATGGGCCGTTCAAACCCTTGAAGTTCGCAAACACTATGGAGCTTGTAAGTAGTAGGGGGAATTATAAGGTTTTTGTATAGATTCGTCGCAGTTAGACACAGACAGACAGCCACCACACATCCAGGAAAGCGCTAGACGGCCGTTTCGTCCTATTGGGACTCGTCAGTAGCGCGCACCCGCCGAATCCTGCTGGATTCGAACCCACGACCTTACTCTTGCGAGTCAGCGACGTATGCCACTGAGCCATGGGCGACGGCAGCGGACCGCCATGACTGATATCTAACTGCGATATAGCGCGGCTCATCCTCCACTGTCTTGCATGTGCAGAGGACAGGGATGGCCCCCAGAGCAACGACTTCCTTTGCAAGCCGCCACCAATCGAGGTGGCAAGTATGCTGCTAAGGCGACTACTGATTATTTTTATTATTACTATTATTATTACTACTTACAAATAATCAGTAGTCGCCTTAGCGACGAATCTATACAAAAAACTATGGAGCTTGATTGCCATTGCTGCCTACGCCCCCACACGGTAGGGATGGCTTAATAAAATAAAAATTCCTATGGTTAACTAAAAAGCTTATTCGTCATAGAAATAGTACGCACGCTGTAGTACTGGTTAGTGATCTAAATGATCAAGTCAGATAATTGCCCAATAGTGAACTGTACTTAAGCGGCTAGCACGATGTACGCTCCCATAATGAGGACAGTGAGTGGCTGCCACCTTTGTGTGTGAGGATGCCTATTTGTTTCTAGCTGACACAAACTTCCTACACGGTATAGCGAAATCAATGGACGGGCGCTTTTTTCGGACAACCAGTCAGCCGTATAGAAAAAGTAAAAGGGTAAATAAAACTAGGTGAGATACACGTTTATTGCCGAAATATACATTCTTGCCTCGCTGGAATGGCACCAGAGAAAAGGCTAGCTAGGGTGCAAATGAAACTAATTCGGCAATATCCCACACACCATACGGGAAAACTCCAGGCTGGTACGCAGCCCCTCTCCTAGTAGCGAAACCATGAGTGACCCTCCGATCTACATGAGGACTGTCCGTCGCCAACCAACCTACTGCAGACCAGTTGGTGAAAGCTGATGCGGCTGTTGGGGAAGCAATGATGAGATCGGACTTTAGCAGGCTCCCCTTCTACTCCCTGAGGGTGACAAAAAAGGAAGACGTAGTGTTGGATCACAAAGCGTTTGGCCACGTTATGCCCGACGATGTTCAAGAGTTCGTGAGTGGGATTCGAAAAGGAAGTAAATGAGTGACGTCAGGTACGCGCAACTGACCAGAGCAAACGAACCTCGACACAATTACGGAATATGACTAGGGACTAAAACGGGAACTCATTTTGTGTTTTCAGAAGATTTTGTTCGTATTTTTTGAGTTTTCGAAACATTTTTTATTTATTGGCGCTTCTGCCTGACCTCAAGGAAAATGAAAATGCAAAATAAGGAAAACTGCGTCAATTCTTTGGATACGCTTGCCGATGAACTCGTCTACCAAAGCTGGTCGGCTTTTGCGCTTCGGCTGTAGTCGCGATCGATTTCGGAAAGGTGTCTTGTGTTGGAGTATTTGGAGCGGCAGCTTGTGTGCCCTCCGGTTCGAATGGAAGTAGCGGAACTGGTGCGTTATGGTCATTTTCCAGATTTTCGTCTGCTACGGAGAGAAAGCTTACAGCCAGCGATCAAGCCGAGAGCAGTGGCGTAAAAGTGGATCGATCTACAATTAGAGATCGAACTCGAGTACAGATCAAAATGCGAATCGATGTGGAATCAGCGGCAAATTGGATCATGAACTTGAGCCATTTGAGTTGTGTTAATTAACATCAATTCGCATCACCAATATCGTTGTGTTGGTAGTTGCCCACAACCAATTTATTGTGCCATGCTCTCATACAATACGTCTCTATGTCTACCTACTTCTGGCCAGTCGCACGTGGGCTGAGTATACCGCGAGAAATACCACCCCTACAAGGATTTAAACCAGTGACCTTATGATTGCAAACCAGGCACGCAGACCACTCGGCCACCGGCCGACCTCAAGGGTTCAGCAAGTGGCTGGTGGTTCTGCAATAACGCCTTGACTTCAAAGGTGCGAAGCGCACACCAAATGTTGGGAACAATTAAGTCTACAATGCCGGTGTTGCCTATTTCAAAATGAACTACGCGCTATGAAGAACAAGAATGAGCGCTAATTATTGTCTTTGTTTT